TTGTACTAAATAAGAAAATAGCAGAAGTGTTGATCACTTAACTAAGTAGTGTTGGAGCCTATGTCAAAGTTGAACACCAGAAAACAAAAAATACGTTACGTTCTACAGTTCTGCCTAAAAAAACAATTGAAATCGTCTGGTCCGACTGACATGTGAGCATTGTTTCGATTACCCAGGAGCTAAGCATTGCACGAAAGACAGTTTTAAACCACTTGAATAAGGCTTGATAAAAAAAAGAAACTCGATTTAAAGGTGCCTCATGAGCTTACGAGAACAAATCTCAAGCTTCTATCTGCGAATCGCTGCTGAATCGTAACAATATCGGCCATCGGCAGATGGTGACTATTGATAAAAAGGGAATCACTTACAGCAACTTCAAATGAATACCGTTGTAGTTGAAGGGCAGTGAGTCTGCTTAAACGCTTTCCAAGCCAGTATTGACAATCCTGAAAGTTTTGTTCTATGTCCGGTGGGATTGGCAAAGAATTATCAATTATGAGTTGCAGTCAGTAATTAGACTGTCTGAAGAAAGAAATCGCCCAGAAGAACCCATACTTTGCCAAAAAGATTATATGCATATGTTTGTAACCGCTGAAGCGATTTTCGGCCTAGCTTCTCCACCAATCTTCCAATAAATGGATTGACCTATAGTTCATTACCGAGAAGCTGCCGAACGGCTGATAGTTTTTTATGAGCAGCTTTATTTTATGTCAAAAATATACTCGAAAGGGTTGACATTACCAATTATTTAAATTAATATTCTACGGCTATTACGGGCGAAAAAAATTGGAACTGTGTAATCAGGACGGCGTCTGACCATACACGTCGATAGTGACTGCCAGTAGCTCCGAGGCTTAGTTTGGCTTTTCTAACACATTCACTTGTGATTGCCTTCAGTTCCTATCTATGTCAAATGATTTGGCTGATGAAGAATTGGCATCAAGAAAAGCTTGTGAAAATCGATTATCCCATATTATTGCCAATAGAAGGGTTTCTACCAAAGAGGCATAATTTTTCATAAATCGGATAATTATATTTATGGTAAATAAAACCATCAATGTAATGCAAAAATAATTCATTTTGTTTCGCTAGGTCTATAATATAAAATATTAACCATTAATTTTGTCTTAAAGTATATGTATGGCATTTTTGTTGTGTTGAATTAAAGTGTATTGCAAAGTAATAAACAAATATAATGGTGTAAGTATGCCATAAACTGCGCAGTGTGCACCACTCAGAGAGTATTTATGTGACACCCTAGAGCAATGTTGGGCGTACCAAAGACGCGACTACGATTTTATTAATGGGAATTTAATGTGAACTTGACCGCTTGCGGCATAATAACTGTTACTGGTAATTAACAAAAGGGCTCACTGGAGCTAAATAAAGATCTATGCGTAAAAATAAAAAAATAATAAGACTCATAGATAACGCCATAAGCAATTTAAATGGCGTATACATACTATGTATGTGCATAAATACTTACATATATACTGATGATATGAAGTTGTTGCGTTGTGGCTTTTTACGAAGCTTTAAATGTATACAGTAATTCCCCGCTTTAGTTGGTTGTAATGGGAGGTAGTGTGCAATATATTTGTGTAATTAAAGTATTGCATATTTAAATTGCAATATTTTTTGTTAATTATTAGCATACAAACTAGCCTACATACTTACGCGTTTGAAAATAACTCATTCGTGCTTTTTAGTTATATTCGGGCGTATTTTTTTTTGGTATCATATGAACACTTTGTTCTGTGTTTGTAACCCAGTGACTGATATTTATATTTGCAACAAATTCCCAAGCCTTGCGTGAGATTAGTTTTCTGCTATACCGTCATTTCGTTATTCCATCTTCCTGACATCTTACTTTGACGATGGGAAATTTGTTTTGATAATACTTGCATTAATACCATTGTTTGGAAATTGTCAACTAGCATTATTTTGGTACATACCCTGTAGTGCGACTATCTCGGCTCCCCACTAACAATTGAACTAGCTCCCAGGAGTGAGTACTGGTCACAAGCCTTAATAAACAACCATTCACTTTCTTAACCAATTTAAAATGGGAAGGTGATTGCAACGTATCGAGCGGTACGACGTTGCATTACGCTGACTTAGCGATTTGTCTGGTGCAAAGTGGTCGATTATTTCGTTAGTGCGACTGAGTTAGAGATATCGATATTTATTAAACTAGATATACGTGTATATTTATATTATTAATTTATTTTTAAAATAACCAAAAGAGATAAAAATGAGCATTCTTGGCGGTTAGAAAACAAAATTACAGAAACATCTAGGATAGGTTTGACCGAGGAATGATGCATTACCTCCATTTAGCGATTTGTCTAACGATTGGCAATGCTCAAAATCGTGAGCCTGCGAAGATTGCTTGACACTATCAGAGCTGCATACGATCCTTCCGTATTAAAAGTAACAAATAAAGAGCAATGGCCTCTGATTTGACTGAAATTTGACATTAAGTTTAATTTCATTCCAAAATTGACAGAAATGAAGCTGAAACATTTTGAAAGTTATTTTCCTGAAAGTAATGGGTGTGGCAGAAGCCATTGATAACGTGAAGTTAGCACCATGAAAGTAAGGTCATAGGTTGTTTAAAACTTGTCAGATTTAAAAAGAATTTGGTATCGAAGAAAAGCTAATGCAATTCGCTGCAACGCATTTCAAAATTGTAAAAAAAAAATTTTTTGTAAAATATTTTGTTTTTTATTCAAGAAAATACTTTTTATATTTTCAAAATGTTAATCCAAACTATATTCATCGATGTAGCCTGACAAGGTCAAGAAGTAAGTAAAGTTCTAATTTATCAAGTAAGTAAAATTAAAAAAAAAATCATACAGCTGAGTTTCCTTAAAAACTTCTTTCTCCCTGACCTAGTGCGAAAATTCAAAAAAATCGACTTTTTTCATTTTTCGGTAGATTACAACTTCAAAAATAATATATTAAAATTTCAAATCGATATCTGAAACAGTTTTTGAGTTATAGCAATTTAAAGAGCAGTCGCTCGGCAGCTGGAGCGTCTCATTAGCTTCGAATGAAAACTATCATTTTATCTTTAAGCGCGTTTTTCTCGAAACAGCATTTTCCGACTTGGTTGCAGTGATTACTCAAAAACAAATGATCCGATCACTATATATAGTTCTCCGTACAATGATCTATCGATTTTTGATCTGATCAAAAAATCGAGTTTTGGCAGGCCAAAAACGACCAAAATTTTGGGTAAAATTCGACTATTTTTTTTAAAACGCCGTCATATTTTCAATTTTTGATTTTTTTTTATCGTAGGCCATTGTATAGATAATATTATCTTATCGAGAATTTTTTTAGATTTCATCCACGGGGAAGGCCGGAATCACTGCAGCAGTGAAGGACCTTTTTTCGCGCCGTTTTAGATCGACTATAACCTAAAAAATATTTAATTTTTTTCTTCAAAAATTTCACTGTTTATTCTCGAAACATGTATAAATAAATTTTTGAAATTTTGAAATAATTGATAAAGGGTTTTTTTCAATAAAAATTCCCAAAAATCATCTTTTTTTAGGCTAGTTGTGCCCCTTTAAGGGGTGAGGCTACTCTAGGATTTTGGAAAACGCAATTTCTTTCTTTTTTTTTTGCTCACAGAGTATCTTTGGGTCCAAGAAATGTTGCATACAGTGGTTGGTTTTAAAGTGAGAAAAAATATTTCAAATAGCTGTATTTTTATTTTGCTGCAGCCTCTCAGAGGGTGCGTTGAGTACAATGAAAATCTTAAAAGCATTTTTCTCAAAATCACATTTTTAAAAATCTATTTGGTCCCCTTCAAAGTAAGCCACCTTTGGATGTAAAGCATTTTGGTCAACGCTTTCTCCACTCCTCGTAGCATCTCTGAAATGCGCTTTTCGGTATGGGCATCAGTTCTTTTTTCGATACCGACTAGATCTCATCAATTGTGGCAAAACGCGTTCCTTTTATTAATTTATTCAGTTTTAAAGTGGTTGAGGCATGATTACGGCTTTATTTCTTGCCAAAAAATCACGAATAAGCATTGATGTGTAAACTGGGGCTTTAGCAGATGCAGAATCCGCTGTTTGTTTTTCCGCACATTTTTTCAATTCTACATTCCACGTTGCATAACTTCATTGTAGTATTCCTTAATATTTGTACGACCTCTTGGCAGGAACTCATGACGCATTACATTGTTGTAATCAAAGAAAATCAAATTCATCTTTTTCTCTGAACACACCTTCTATTTATATAAAAGATTTTGTTCTGAATGACTGACGGATTAATCCACAGCCAAAAACATTGGTCGTAGAGACCTTAAACTTGGAAGGAGTGTTTTGTGTATGACGTTTGTACCCGTTAAGAAAGGATTTTCCGGAAAGTGGACCTGGGACTGATGTATTTGAAAATATGGAGTGTCTTTTTAAATATTGTGATTTACGTGAAATTTAGTACATACCTATGTTTTTGTCTATATTGACAAATTGGAGAAGGAGCTCTAGGAAATTTAACTAAATTTTTTATTTAAATTAATTTTCGATAACTTTTGGATGTAGGTCGTATAAAATGTTTCTAAATGGCAGTATGCAATTTTTTCTTTATTTAAAATTAGTAAATCCATGATCAAAGAAGAGTGAGAGGAATATGCCCGACGCTTCATGGAAAATGTGAAGATCTTTCGACACTAAATTCTTTATATCGCTAAACTGGAATTTCATTCCTCTCTCAAATATTTGCATCAATTAATATCTTTAATTAAAAAAAAATTAAAAAGGTGAACAAAAAAGTCTAAATGAGAAAGAATCTCAGTTCGTTCAGCAACTGGAACTGGAGAAGCTGTTTGCCTGAGGGCAACCCATGCAGTGAACAAAGTCAATGTGATAATTAGGGTATTTATTCGTAAAAACTGTTTGGATAACTGCTGCTGGAAATAAAACAATTTTTAAAATTATATTGTATTTTTTTTATTTATTTTATTTTTGAATTATCATTGAAGCCTTAATTTAACAAGTATCTTAAAATGTGTTTATGTAAATGGAAGTATTAAACAAAAGTTTTACATAAAAATGATGAGAAATGAAAAGATTCCAAAGTAAGAACATTCATTTTAATACTTAAGTTGTACATACATATATATATGTATATGTATGAACTTAGTGCGTAGTTTACAATTGACTTTAAAATCGGCATATGACAGTTCACATAATGGAAAATGAGAGAATATATGTGTAGGTAAGTATAACTTCATTGGCGGCGAAGAAATGGCAACGCTGAGTTTTAAAGTAGACACCCATTTTAACTTAAATAAATCGGAGATTTCATTTAAGTCGAGGCAGAGATGGAAACTATTGATGCCGTAAGTATAATTTTGCTCGTAAAACTTAAAATAGGCGTGACATCTTTTGGTTTATCTAGCAACGAGTAATTAATTGTTTTCCGGTCTATAGCCTCTTTGAAAGGGCTCTCTTTTGTTTTGAATAGTCTACTTCCGATATTTGTATCCACCATCGGCAGAGTAACTTTGCGGTATTGTATCTGGTACGGATATTGGGGCACTGTAGGATGATGAAGGTGCTGAGGATGCATATCCCCCACCATTACCTCCGGCACTAGGAGCACTATAGCTGGATGGTGGGGCTGCAGGAGCTGGGGCATCATATGATGAAGAAGGTGCCGAAGGTGCACCATATGATGATGATGGCGCAGATGGCGCTGATTGTTGTGGGGCACCGTAGCTAGATGAAGGAACTGGGGCAGGTGCGGGCGCGGGCGCTGGAGCACTGTATCCAGTTGGTACACCATACGATGTTGAAGGTGGTGCCGGTTTGGATGGAGCAAAAGGTTTTGAACTAGAAGGTGATGGAGGTAAATACGAGTTAGAGGGCGGGGCTGGAGCTGATGGTGCACCATAACTGGATGACGGTGGTGCAGGTGGTGCGCCATAACTAGATGAAGGTGCAGAAGGTGGTGGACCATAACTAGACGGCGGAGGAGAAGGTCTTGATGGGGGACCATAACTAGAAGCTGGTGGCGCTGGTGGTGCGCCATAACTGGAGGAGGGTGGAGAAGGTCGAGACGGTGGGCCATAGCTGGAGGCTGGTGGTGATGGTGGGGCAGGTCTAGAAGGTGGTCCATAACTCGAAGCTGGTGGTGATGGTGGGGCGCCATAGCTCGGTGATGGTGGAGCAGGTCTAGTAGGTGGCCCATAACTCGACGCTGGTGGTGATGGTGGGGCGCCGTAACTTGATGATGGTGGGGAAGGCCGTGAAGGAGGTCCATAGCTCGAAGCTGGAGGAGATGGTGGGGCGCCGTAACTTGATGATGGAGGGGAAGGCCGTGAAGGAGGTCCATAACTCGAAGCTGGTGGTGATGGTGGGGCGCCGTAACTTGATGATGGTGGGGAAGGCCGTGAAGGAGGTCCATAACTGGAAGCTGGAGGAGATGGTGGGGCACCATAACTCGGTGATGGTGGAGCAGGTCTAGAAGGTGGCCCATAACTCGAAGCTGGTGGTGATGGTGGGGCGCCGTAACTCGGTGATGGTGGAGCAGGTCTAGAAGGAGGTCCATAACTGGAAGCTGGTGGTGATGGTGGGGCGCCATAACTCGGTGATGGTGGAGCAGGTCTAGAAGGAGGTCCATAACTGGAAGCTGGAGGAGATGGTGGTGCACCATAACTTGCAGATGGCGGTGAAGGTCGAGAAGGAGGTCCATAACTCGAAGCTGGTGGTGATGGGGGTGCACCATAACTAGTTGCTGGAGGCGAAGGCCTTGCTGGAGGTCCATAGCTGGAGGCGGGCGGAGACGGTGGGGCACCATAGCTGGATGACGGAGGCGAGCTCTGTGGTGGTGACGGAGGAGCACCATAACTTGACGATGGTGGTGAAGGTCGCGAAGGAGGTCCATAACTAGAAGCTGGAGGAGATGGTGGCGCACCGTAACTGGATGCCGGCGGCGAAGGTGGCGCACCGTAACCTGAAGCTGGTGGCGCGGGCTGTGCCGGTGGCGATGCTTTAGGTGGGCCATAAAAAGCCACGGGTGATTGTGGTACAGAATAAGTTGAAGCGGGTACTTTGGCTGGACGACGAGGTTTCTGTGGGGGAGCATAACCTGAACTTGGACGACTAGGTGGAGGAGCACCATAGCTAGAGGCAGGTGGTGATGGGGGAGCACCATAGCTAGAAGATGGTGGTGATGGCGGAGAAGGTTTACTGGGCGCACCATAAGATGGACGTGGAGGTGGAGGCGGTGGTGGTGGAGCTGGTGCTGAAGGTGCGCCATAACTCGAACTTGGTGGACCCTGTGGACTTGCATATGGCCCACCGGAAGGGGCACTTGGTGCATAATCATTTTGAGCCGGTGCACTATATGATGTAGCCGGTCCGGAAGCAGGCGGTAAATAAGAACTAACTGGTGGTTCAGCATTGACTATAGATAACGCAGCGCACAACAGCTGTAAGAAAACAAGAAACAAGAAATAAAACGTTTAAGAAACTGTGAATTCGAAAAGAGAGAGAGAAAAATTAATGTTACGGATTGTAAGTTACCGTAGCTGCTGTCGCTGCCGTGGGGAAGAGCTTCATATTGGCAACGGTTGAGGCGTGGAAAAGCTGAATTTGGTGTCTTTTTTTAATCTGTAAAATTAAAATTAAAAATTGTAAGCTATAAATATAAATAGTTGTAAAATTTGATGTTATTAAACATATTCCACAACAAATAACATGCAATAAAGTTGACTTATGTACACACATTTCTGCATTTCGAACGCGTTCAAACATTTTTCATTAAACTACGTAAAACAAATTCCGTGAATATTTGTGCATAGTAAAACGAAGACTGTGGCGAACTGAAATTTCATGCATAGCGTGTTGCGCATGCGAACTAAATTCGCTTGGATAGCATTAACTATATATGTACACACGAGTATTTATTGGGGCGGCAGTTAGTTATTTTGTGAGTAAATATTTCATTTGGAGAAGTCTTTTTATAAAAATTATAATATATCTATGATTTACTTCTTAAAACATATTTAGCTCCAGCTGAAAAAATGGTTTAGGTTACAATAAATTCGATTTTCTCTTGGGATGCACCCTCCACCGCCCCACGAAATACCATTAGAAGTGTTATGAATATTATTCCAAATACATTATAATTTCTTCAAAATTGATTCATGTGAGAGAAAACACTACAGGGCGTATACGCAACTTCGACGATTTTACCTGTGAAATTAGTAAATCTAGTCAAACCCAGGAGTATTACCTTACACAATTAGGAGTAAATTTTTATAAATATTTGAAGATAGATAAAGTATATATTAGTAATATATATGAATATATAATTAAAAATTATTATTTATTTTCCATAATACTTTTCGACCACACTTATGTACGCTGCTGAAAGTAAAATATAAATACATTTTTGCACCAATACAAATATACATACATTTATATAAGTGGTAAATTTTCCCATTAAGAAGGAATAAAAAAAATATAAATAACAACAACAAAATGTGCATTTTAGACTAAGTCTCTCTCTGACTCCACACACTTTTCATTATAAAAGCCTATATCTTTTTGCCCAAATCATTATTTATGTGCAAAATACCAAAGCAATGTCAGATCACGTCACATTATCGTTCGTTTATATGTACGAGTATGCAATACATAGGTTTTGTTTTTGTAATAGACGATTTATGACTATTTTATGACAACACAAACAACACAAAAATTGCAAAAAGTGTTTTCGTGCCGTGGCATTTTCATTGTTTATATGTATGCCCTCGTTGAGTTTTACATATAAACGTAAAATGTACAATGTGCATACTCCAATATGGAATAAAACAGACATCGTTAAGAAAAACCTTCGTCTCATTATCAGCGCTTCAATCTGAGCTTTTGTTGGCATTTTTCATTAATTGACATTTGATGAGTTGTTTCCTAACTGTAAAGTGACCACACATATAGTCAGTGTTGCCATTTTAGATATTTTCAAGATAGATTTATACACGCTTTTCGGTGCTTAGATAGAAAATGTGTAATTTACTTTTAGCTTATTCTTAGATTTTTTTTAGAAAAATTTTTAACTTATTTTACTTAGTAAAATTCCAGTTTTTTTTGCAAACTACTCCTCCCAAAGATATCCGAAGTAACCGATGTAGCACTTGTTAGCGGATTAAGTGTAGATTTTAAACTCTCTACGGTTTTAATGCTCCTATTTACAGAGGAGGACTCAAACACTGTAGCCACCAATTGGATCGAATTAAAAACTTATATTTTTTTAAAATGCATAGAATTATCCATTTCATTACATGTTTGTACTTTGACATCACTCAAACTTAACTGCCAAATCCTGCATGTTTGGTTTAGTGAAAAGTCAGGTTCTTATGAGATTGGATCGCTTAAAAACCGTTCAGCTCGTTAAAATTGTTTAAGCTACCACAAAAATGGTCATTCAGACATTGTCACATTTCTTACTTAAAGAAGAGATTGTGGTGCATACAGTTATCCAATTACTCAAAAATTAGTAAGATTATAAAGAAATTTGAAGAGACTGATTGGGTTACAGCCACTGCATCATCATTTTACTCGTCCCACTTCAAATATCGATACTATAGGTAGAAAAGAAGTCGAGCACCCGAATATGTCTATTTCTCGATGTTCTTAACAGCCAGGACTTTCTAACGGCACATTTTGGCGGATTTTGTATTTGGACTTACATTTACATCCTTATAAAGTCCAGTTCATAAAAGAGCTAAAGACATTCAAAACGCCGTTCATTCGTCGTTGGCTGCTGGAACAACACGCAGTAGACAGCGATATTTTAACAAAATTTTCTTTAGCAACGAGGCATTTTTCTCACTCGGGGATACGTAAGTATGCCAAATTGTCAAATTTGCCGCTCCGAGAATGCTCAAATAATCGAAGAGAAGCAATCAAACCTAAAAGAAAAGCTTATGTCTGGTGGGATCTTGGCGAGATCTGTTGGCCTCGCAGTAGCGTTTTGATTATGTTGGATTATTTTTCATAGGCAGTCGTTAAGTGCCACGCCAACCACACAGAGGTGGACGATTCATGACTTCAGAAGTGTGAAATGTCGTGTCTTTGCTGATTGGGACCTTGAAATTATCTGGAGTTTCATCGAAAAATAATCTTGGCGGATGAAGGGTATGTCCACCTCTATGGCTACGTCAATAACCAAACATGTCGAATCTGGGGCTCGGAAAACCCAATATTTATTGTTGAAAAGATTCTCCTTCCTCAACGTGTAACTGTTTGGTGCGGTTTTATTGGGGCTTACTTTTTCGAAAATGAATTGATTGCGCTATCAAGGGATGTATTGATCTGGACAACGTTTACATTTACAAGCAACGCAACCATCTATCGACTTTCGACCGAGCTCCTTCTTCAATTTGTGGTGAGCGTCTTGATGTTTTACCAAATAAAATGAAGGGACCTATAGCTAATTTTAAGCAGCCTCCGAAGGATTTAAAGATTTTTATGCGCAACTTATATTTCATGTCACTCGTAGGTCTTGTTATTCCCTTTCGAAAGGCGACCGTGATTTAAAACATTAATTATATGTAATTTTGGTTGTTGGTCAAATCAGTACTCGAACCTTGGCCTTCTGTAAGTAAGAAGCGCTAAATAAACGGCTTTGTGGTCGCCGCTTCATAACCACATAAGGGATTTCTGGTCAAGATAGTCCTTTGTAGTGTACAAGGCGCTTTTGTTAATGGTTTCCCGGAAACAAAGAGTGACCTACAGTTTATTCTTAGCCGCTTTTGAACGCCCTATGTTTTTTAGAAGAAAGTTTTTATTTCGCAACAGCAATACCTTCCAAGTGGTTGACACAAACTACCGAGCGGCGACCGGAATCTGAAATTTATTATTATTTTTAATTAATTTTCTCTAATTTCAAATGTTGCACGGGCCACAGCTCGAAGCCATGACTCGCCACATGGTAGTACGTGCTGCTAACCACACGTCAAGAATTATTAAATTAAGCACTTGGACTTGTTTTTTGCCATTTGATATTAGCTCATTTATCTGTATAGATTTAAATGTAAATAAGCATCCAACAATGAGATTTTGCCTTACTTCTTTTACGCGAAGTTCAAAGAAAAAAATAATTGCAAAATATTGAAACAAGAAAAAAAAAGTGAAGGAAGAAGAAACCGAAACAAAGAAACTTCAAATGGCATCATTACGCAAATGAACGAGTTAAGTCGAGTTAGCGGCGCATGCTGTGCTTATGCGTTGGCCGCCATCCATACGCACGGGCGCCAAATGCGAAACGCGATTTCGTAAACTTTATCTACTTATGAAGCGTGCGTGTGCAGTCATATGCGCATGCGCATGCGCAATGCATTCAATTACAATCTGTAATTGTAAATTGGCTATGTGAATAAATGCGAGTTTTTATACATATGTAAATGAATATAAACATATGCTCAAATGCTCATATGCTATTACATAGCACATATTATATTTTATATGTCTGATGCACTTGTTGGTATGATGATAGCTAATGCTGATGCTTGAAAAATCAATTTAAAATCAATGAACAAATTCTTTTGCATTACAAAAACGCATTGAAAGCAAATTAAAAAGTATAAACTTGGAAATATACATATTATTGAGTACACAAAATGACAATGTAATTGAAGTAAGCTGAAAAAAAAATTGATTTTGTAGGTTATGGATTTACAGAAAATTTTGTAATAAGCTCAGCATAAGCCGCGGGTTAACAGCCATTTGCCAAACAATTTTCCAACTTTAAGGGCATTTACCAATCACCATTATGCAAACTAGCAAGCTAAAAAAGTTGTCAATGACACGCTGCCGCTGCTGCTGCTGCTGCTGCCGCTGCTGCAACGCTAAATTTGTTATGCAAAATGTGAGTAAAATTGAAAAATTAATGCTGCCTCCCCCACACCCCAAATATATGTATATACGTACATATGTAAGCACTCGTATGTGGTGAATTTCATTTAAATTTTATGATGCTTTTTTAACGCATCAGCAATGACATTACAACAGATGCAGCCGGATGTGAAGTTCGCAGGGCAACTCATCAAAATGTCTCTCGCCGTCATCGCGACCGCTGCCAGTGCCGACGACGTCATATACTAGTAGTTAATGTGGCTAAATCCATCACCATTATATATATATATATATGCAGTTGGCGCTTTGTAACCGCTGAAGCGGTTTTCGGCCGAATTCCGCCTTCCATTTGTGGTATGCGTCTCTGTGTTTTTGCAACATTCCCTGCAGAAGGGAATTTTATATTTTGTTTATCGAATCAGGGTTCGAACCCTGGCCTTCACAATGGCAGAACCCAATGTTAACCACTTGACTATTGCGGCCGATTATCGTGTTAGCTCACTAAAATTCTGTCTCGCCCCCTCTCCCCCCTATCTGCTGTTTGCCGTCGAGAAAAACTTTGTCTTTCAAAAATGCCAAAACAAAAGAAAAGTGGAAAAATATGCAAAACAGGGCTTTAAGTGGCACAGATAGCCATATCGCACAAAACTTCAATGCATACATACATTCAAACGTATGTACGAGTATGCACTCGTATAGCGCAGCGGTGATGCTCACAAATGCGGTTGGCGGCAGACAAAGTTCGTTGAATG